CACATGCGTGCGCGCGCGGGCGTGTGTGTGTGTGTGGTGTGTGTGTGTGTGTGTGTGTGTGTGTGTGTGTGTGTGTAATGAATAAATATAAACAAAAAACTAAATAGATATAAATCTATTAGTAATTTTGCCATGTAACCTAGGACAATTGAGTTATTTGATAACGGAAATAAGTGTCGTGCTCTTATCAAGAAGAAAATTGTATGAATAACACGATATTGATAAGAAGCGCATTTGATATCCGACAAAGTCTCAATAAATATCCTCTTTAAGTTTTTGTACAAATATGAAACATGAGAAAAATGCGTAATCATATTACGTAGATTTGGAAGATGCTCTTTTCACGTATATTATATAAATAAAAAACTTGTTTCACGCGTATGAAGAGGAAAATGTATAACTTAAAGTACACAAGTTGCATAATTTGTCATTATGTATATACAAATGACAAGAATAGATCAGCGAAATAAGTCTGATAAAACAATGTGTTATTCATGGAGACTCACCTTGCTCCACTTTTATCTTTCACAATACATTATAGTATCTGTTTTTGCATACGAGTTTTAATCACACTTCATGTTTACGTTGGACATAACAAATATATACGATATATAAGACTACCACGCTGTTGATCACTAAAAATCACATATAATATTCAGAGTATGCAGCCACAGAAGTTAAATAAATCGTAAACATGCATATATAAGATATAAACGCGATTCTTTACAATATCATAAATAATGTTTTGCCAAAAATATAAATTAATACCAAAAAAAAATTTTCCCCTTGGCGAACATGTTTAGTTAAGTTAATTCCTAGTGTCCATATTTACACATTTCAGGGTTAATCCAAAAATATTATTGCATTCTGGATTAATTGGAAGTATATCGAAAACTGGGATTTAAAATGTTTTAGCATAAATTGTGTGAGGACTTACCACTTAAAATGGGATGCATTTTTTACATAATTTCTTAAAATATGTACAAGATAACAACAGGAAAAATGTTTATTATCGTTGAAATAAAATATAATATTCAAACAATTTTTTTTTCATTGATCTTTTTATTAGAAATGATTTAAAAAACTTATCTCATTGTGTGAAAATCTTGTTATGTTGAAAATCATATTCTATTATCTTACTTGGGACGGGAGCTTTGGAAATGAAAGAAATATTAAAGTATGATCGCATGACCGGTCTGTTATTACTGAAGATTGTAGTGAAAAGGGTAATAAATCTGCAAACTACAATGGCATTATGAAGGATAAAAAAATTATGCGAAAGCTCAGAGGAGAGACATAAGCGACAAAATGACTCAAGACATCGCATACAATAGCAGCATAATTATTTATTAGCACATGAAGGATATTATAATTGCTTAAATTTAAAATGTAAATATATCGCGCATATTTATATAATTTTATATACGTATACACAGAGATTGAGTCATTATAATATTTATACGAAGCATTCGACGCAAAATAAAATATTAAATCAGTCACAAAATAAGATATAATATTATATTATCAGATAATGTAATATTACCTGATCGAATTCAATATACCAGATGACACTATCCCTTATTTTAGAATCTCATGTCCTAAGCATATTCGAATCAGAAAATCACAGAATTAATCACAATTTAAGTTTATTAATTCATAATTAATCTGCAATTATTACGCTTGGAATGAATAAATATATGATCATACAGCATATATGTATGCTGCATGCATATCAATTAATTTGTATATAATAAATATAAAAATTATGCAATTGATATTGTTGATATTTAATATTATTATTATCGTAAGATATGCCATTTAATTGGAAAGAAGATGTACTAATTCAACAATGTTATAGAAGATCTATCAA